AAGTGCTTATAGGTATAGGTTTAAACAATTCTGCAAAACTTAATAAAAGCGTTGATAAAAGTTTATAGAACTACTATACCTACTAGGAAGGTATGCAATATGCGTCGCTAAAAAAAATATTTTAAAATACAGTAAATTTTTTTTGTATCTCAGTTGTATAGTGTTATATTTGCCTGTGTAATTTAGTAAAGAAATTTTATTATTTTATTTATATTAATTATGTTTATATATATTTATATTTATATTTTATGCAATTGATTTATTTTAAATTAGTTCGAAAATATTTTAAATGCCAGTTAAAACAGCATGTGAATCGAACTCGGAACACTGGCACATAATATGGATTTTATGCCACTTTATAAACCGCCTTCAATTGCCAAACCAAACATTTAAAAAATTTATTGTATTTTTATTTATTTTTTTTTTTTTCAACTCTGAAATGTCATTTTCCTAGTAGGCACTGAGGTTATATTAAAAATTCGATATATTCAATTTATCTATAACATTTGAAATAACCTTGGCATCATATAAAAATGCTATTTACTCGTATTTCTAACAATGCTAAAAAAATGTGATTATAAAAATTTCATAATATTGTAAACATTTTATTATTTTATTACTTGAAAGTTGAATAAGAAATGTTAGAGATGATCTAGAGATATTTATATGTAATAGAGTAGAGATATAAGTAATTGAAATAAGAAATGTAAGAAATAATCTAAAGATATTTATTTAAAATTCTCTGCAAGAAAAAAATTAGCATTACCAGCGGCTTTCTGGATAAATTTTTACAAGCCTCAATAAAATACTGCAAAAAACAGTCTTGACGATTGCTTAGAATATCTTAGATTTACGAGTACACGTAATGATAACTTTACTAATTAATAAATTATAGTGTATAAGAAAACTAATTTGAAATAGAAAAGTGGTAAACAATGAGAAAATTTCGCAGTCAAAAAATTTAATTTTTAATCAAGCGAGTTCTTGATCTTACCATATAAATGCTTCGAATCCGTAATATATCCATCTTCAAGGGTTTTGGAAACATTTGTTACTTTATTTATTAGTATATAATCTTTAAACAACAATTATCAAAAATTTAACCCTTTCAAACTACAGACTCCGTGTTAGCATATAAAGGAGTTTTAAATAAGCAAAATAATTTAAATCCCATCCCATCGTCCAAATGGTTTGGACAGGGAGACGGTCGATGATCGCTCTTCCTAAAGCTGTAGACAATTAAATAATTAATTGAAATATAGTAAATATTTCAACGTTTCATGCTTTATTTCGACCACACAATGGCTTAAACAGTTGCTAGATGCAAACCAATCCGAACAAAGCCCCTCGTCATGAATTCTACGAATTTTGTTAGTCTGTGTTTGAACACGTCTAGTTTGTTACTCGCTTCACTTTTTCGATTTTTATAGGCTTAATTTTGATTTCTGAACAAATAAGCCACATTTCTGGACTATGAAATAGTATATAACTCAATTATGAGTAGAATTTTAATAAATTCTTATCATTTAATGACATATATGTTTGTTACATAAATGCCGACTGTTCGAATTTAAACTCTAAATGTTTAATTACAAATTACTAAGCAATTGCAGCTCCCACTGTAATATCTGACAAAGAAATATTACTTCATTTTTGATTAAATGTGAACTTAAAATATTATAGGTAGTAATTTTAAGACCTTTTTAATAATTCATAACATCATTTACTAAAGTTAACAATGCAACACTCATACCGTATGTAAATCTCTTTATAATAAGTATCTAAATCTCTATTCATAAATTTAAATAAATTAATATGAACAGATTTATGAAACATATAAATCTTATATAAATAAGTGTTACTTTTTAATTACTACGTAATAAATAATAATATCTATTATTTATTATTAATTTATGCAAACTCCTGTATGCATGCACGCAGTCAGTGTACAACTTTTTTAATGTCAGTTACCACCACCAAAAAAATTATGAATTAAAAATTGCTGGTTAACTGCACTATAAAAAGATGTAAATATTTGTATCTATAGAGATTAATCCATTGTAGTGAATCATTTTCGCATATCATTATTAAAATTAGTGAAATCAAAAACTCATTTTATATTAGTTTTATTTATTTTTTTTTGCAAAATCGTTGTTTATATGTTATTATCAATACTTAGGAATTTCTTTTTGTAAAAGAATTCAAATTTTAGTAATTTGACATAATACTGACTGTAACTTTTTGCAAATATAAAAATTTTTCACTGAGAAAGATATAAAATGGGTTAAACTTTGCATAAATTTGCAAAAATATTCTAATAATTTAAACTAACCCCTTGGAGAGGACTTGGAGTTAAAAAATTATCCATTAATATTCATATTATTTGATTTGTTTACTTTCATAATAATGACTTTCTTATTAGATAAACTAATAAATAGAGTAGTGGCACATATTTCATTTGAGATATTTATTAACTTCTGTCGCGTCGAACTGATCTAGAATTTATTTAGTCAGTTTGATGCATTCCAAGCATTTTGATGAACTTTCTATTCCTGAATCATAAAACTTAAAAACTTTTAGATGCATAATATTTATTTATGAGTATTTCTATAATGACTAACAATATTAAATTGCAATATGAATGACCAGAAAGGCATGCGACATTTACAATTCTAACATGCAAAAAATCTTAATATTTCAGTAATCAATAAAAATTTTAAAATCAGGTACCAATTGACCATAAAGTCTATTGCTACTCAAATATTCAAGCTTATAGTGTAGTATTGGAAATATATAATAAGCATTTAATGTGTAAAAATGTTATGATATCTATTAAATAAATAGATGATATCTATTTAGCAATCGAGTTTAGATGCCCCGTAGAAATATTAGCCATTTAATAAAATTGCTGATGAGTCATTTTTGAATGTTTTCTTGTGTTTATAGATGTTATGCTACAGCTGCAAGGAAGACGAAGAAGGTGTTTCACATCTACTTTTATTGTTTATATAAACAACTATAAAGTTACACTATAACAGTTACTTTAAGTAATTCTTATTTTACCGGATAGAAAGAATACAGGAATACAGAATGCATCTATAAATTTGTGTACTAATGATTATAAATTCTTCCTAGAAGAAGCGGGATGAAAAAGAGAAAAAGTAGTAACGACGAAAGTAGTAGTTAAGTTTACTTTTGAGTTATAGTGAAATGGTCTGTTATTGTTAGACGTAAGTGTTTAGCGGTAGAAACAAGTTTTCTTACCGAAGGATTAACACGAGCATGTAGTTTTGAAACTACAATATTAGTTGGTTAAACATACAGAGGATTTCCTTCTTAGGAGATCTCAGTTCGCTGTTAGCGTCTAAGGTTTCTACGGCATCAGTATAGATCACCATCTTAAGTATTACAAATTCGTAGAATCACAGTAAATAATAACTCAACTTAGCTAACATAAGTTAATACAGATACAGTTCTGCAATTCTTTTCAGTGTTATTATGAATTGGAATTGGATAGAAATATAAACATCACTTTAGTTT